AAAATTTAAATAGCCTTATTTTAGAAATGTTTTTATGATGAACATACCAACAAAAATTTTGTATCAGACCATGATAACATGCTTAAAAATGTATGATGTCAATATATATATATGTTTTAAAATGGCTTTTACTTGATCTAAATCTTCTATAAATAAGCCCAAGTAGATGATACATCAAGAAAATTCAATTTATTGATAATTATCTATAAAATAAAAAAAAATAAAAAAAATAAAAACAAGTTCAATTAAAATACAAGAAAATATTTTTGAAGAAAATCAACAAGATTCTGATAATGAATTAGATTATTATATTGCTAATATTACAAGAATACCACAAAATATTTACCATGATGAATCTCTTGAGTATAATGAATTTATTGAATGTCTTGACTATACATGCAGCCCAAAGTATTTTGACACTGTCATAAAGGGGGTTACACATGTAGTAAAGGGGTGTTACACTTATGTTTTTAATAGTGAATGCTGTAATTAATTTCTACTTTCTACCATCAAAATTGGAATAATCTTGACCATCAAAATCACCAAACCAATTTGGGCTGCATGTATAGTCTTGACAGTTTAGAAGATGGTAATGGAATTGATAGTGATGAAGCTATTGAGGAAATGAAAATAGATGAAATTCCAATGAAAAGCTACAAATAATGAAGGCTGTTCATTTGTATTTTGTACTTTATGTAATGTTGCTTTATGTTTAAACCCAAAAAGAAATTGGTTTCTAAAGTATCATAGTAGTGATTAATAATAAATCAATTTTACACAAAAATAAAAATATGTACATGATTTTCAACACATTAAAAATGAAAACATGTGCTCTAAACTGGTTTTTTTTTAAGTAAACTGTCTATTAGAAATAGTATTTTTACATAATTTACGGTTTAGGCCAAATAATCAATGAGCAAAAACTTTTTCTAATCATAACTATCAAAAAAATTAAAAAATCGGGATTTTTTTACAATACACCCTTTTTTCACACCAATTAAACTCCCCCAAAATATCAAATAAAATGGTTTATATGTATAAACTATACCTTTTTGACTATATATTTAAAATCAAAAAAAAAATGGGGGTCAAATGATAACTTTGTTGTTTAGATGGGTCTACAATAATTTAAAATTTTAGACCAAATATGGTCTAAATTTTTGTTTGTTTAAGGGATAATGAGCAGTAGCATCAATACTGCAATATTGTGTTTTATTCTTTGAATGATGTTGGTTAACTAGTTTCCTTTGTTCTTCTGCTAAGTTGGTGTTTTTATTATAATAATTTCTTTCTACTTTGGCTTTAGACAGATGTCATTTAAATCTTTTGAGTAATTCTTTAGCTTCATCCTCTTGGCGAGCATTATAATGTAAACCATTTCGAAAATGTTGACAAGTATCACACAAGTCAGTCCTGGGACTCATAATTTGAATCTCTGGTGTTAATTGATGCCATAACTTTCTGAATGCATCATATTTTAAGGACTTCAAATTACTATCTTCTTCTAAACCAGTTAGAAAGTCTCTGTAGACTGATTTATAACTCATTTCAGCTGGTAAAAAGATAACTGACTGAGTTATTCTATTGATACTTCTGCCTGGACTTGGTAATCCATGGACTTCAGCATAATTTTCCAGAAAATTCTTTACAATTGCAGCAATGTCTTTGTCAATCATCATCTTAGTTTTCCATTGAGGCAACCTTTTAATATTGCCATGAATTCTTGGTAGAAGACCATTGTTTATCAGATGATTTCTAATGTTTTCAAAATAAGTCCTACCAATTCCTAGCATATTGAGATAAGTTTCTTGACAAAGGAGTGTATTGTGATCCCATTGATAGAAAGTTCTTTTATTAGATCTGGTTTTCTTTTTAAGGCGTCTACTAGTACTTATTGATCCACCATCCATTGCCTTAAGTTGGGCCATTAAGAATATGTCTTGTTCTACTTTAGAAAGAGCTTGAAAAGATTCCCTTAATTCTGCAAATTGTTCCTTGGGAATTCTTGAAGAGCATCCACAACCACAGCCTTTTTCTAAAAAATCAATGGCCTTTTGATATTCATTAGAACCATTATATTTATTATTAATTTTCATATACACTTATCCCTATATATATTATTTTATAATTTTATGTTCACTTTGTAGTTTTTTATAATTGTTTTAAAGTTGAAGGAAAGTATATGAATGGAATTAAACTTAGATGAATCAATGTAATAGTTTTAGGTAAATGATTTAAAAGATATGATTGCTCAATAACTTGTGAAGAGAAATTGGAAAATTTGGTCAACCTCCCCATGAAAAATAATTATGGCCTAGATTTAAATTGGCTTATCATCATTAATAATCAAAATGAGAAAAGACAACTTAAAAAGCAAACAATAAATGAAATAATAACAAGTTAATAAAAAATTGACTACCTTTACCAATGAATTTTTCCACACATTGTTGATCATAAACAGAAAATGTTATTATTGCTTTAACAAATCATGTGTAGTGATTTATATTTTGTTTACTTTTTATAGATGTAAAATTTACTTAATTTATTTGAGATAATCAATTAAATATCTTCTGAATAGATTATAACAATAAGGTTAATTATAATTTATTTATATTTTTATTATTTATATATTATTATGTATTTTTAACATAAAAAGGATTATCCTCTAAGAAATAAAGGTAATTTGTATTTTTTCAATACAATTAATTATATATCTTGATTAAAATAAAAAACAAAATAAACAAACATTATATTTTGTTTACTTTTTATAGATGTAAAATTTACTTAATTTATTTGAGATAATCAATTAAATATCTTCTGAATAGATTATAACAATAAGGTTAATTATAATTTATTTATATTTTTATTGTTATATATTATTATGTATTTTTAACATAAAAAGGATTATCCTCTAAGAAATAAAGGTAATTTGTATTTTTTCAATACAATTAATTATATATCTTGATTAAAATAAAAAACAAAATAAACAAACATGATATTGCTATTTAATACTTTCCTCATGTGTAAATTCCTTTGTTCTCACCTTCATCACAATGATTATTCAATACATTTGATGTTATCATTGACATAACAAAAAATTGCATCACCTAAGTAATAAATAATACCAAGGCAATGCAGAAATGAAACTTTTAATAATGCATGCCTACCCAGATCCCTGGGAGTTGCAAGAATAAACAAATAGGAGAATCAAAAAAATTTATCTTTCTTTCCCATTATATATTTGCTTGAAATGAATAATAAATCTGATATCGATCACAGGTGTCAGATTTAATAAATTTTTCCTATTGTAAACAAATGGTTAGGTGCTTTCACACGCCTTCATAATTGTGTAACTTTTTGCACAAATGAAGGCACCCATAAGTTTTAGACTTTGGACAAGTGAGGCGACAAAAAAGCTTTCCTTATATTAAACCAGGCTTGGCTGTTACCATATAACATTGACACTCATGTGATGTTATCTCCACTAGAATAAAGTTGGTGTCTGAAACCTAGGTTGCTGTTTTGTTGGTTGTAGAACCAGCTATCTTTACACTAGATGTAGGATTATTCAGTATCCATGTAATGCCAGCTCAGGTTCTACAAGGTAGGATTCGCAGAAGTGTGTCCTTGATAACAATACCATTGTCAATAAATTCCAGGGCCATGCGGCCCCCCCCTGGAATTTAATTGCAATGTTGTATCATCGGGGGATGCGAGTCAGATTAGCCTTGTGTACGCAAGGAACGTGTGAGAATGACTGTATAGTGCTCAAGGTAACATATGCGTTTTGACATCTGTAAAGTTTCCAATAATCAAATGCTGCATATCGAATTGTTTTCTCTTTAACATTCAGTTATGTTGCCTTGACATTTTCTTATGATTGTTTATTTAATAGTATTAATAAAGATTATATGAAAAGCAAAAACGATACCAATCATCTATTTTACCAAAAGAATCTTGTAATAAATACCTTCACGTTATGTTTTCAACAATACTTATAAAAAAATAAAAAACAAATATCAATACACAAAAAATAATACCTCTCACAATCAATGAAAACGCACCTTTCTTTAGAACCAACCAAGACGACAAACATGTAAAAAAAAATAAATTGTTTTTCCAAAAAATGAATTGCAATAGGGGTTTGTTGTACAACCCATACGCGTATTATAATAAATTTGTATGCATGTCGATCAATCAAATAAAAAAAAATTATCTTTTCAAAATGTCTTCATTAGTGGAGAAACAAAAAAAGAGGAGAAAACATCAAGATGAACGTGAAGAATCTCAGTTCGGGTAAGTGCTATTATTTTAACGTTAAGTATGGATAAAAAGTCAGTGTTCATTTTTTAAATGAAAAGTCTAGTTAATATATATATATTGACGCGCATTTACTCCTTTATTTTGCCAACTGATTTTTATTTTTTTTTTAAAAAAAAAGATGCTCAAGCAAGCAAGCTTCCCAGGAAAAAAATGAGCAGGAGGAATATTACAAGTAAACGTTTTTCTTTTTTAAAGGTGGTGGCGGTTGTGTGCACTGTTGCTTGTTGATTACCTTCAATTTTTGTATTTACTTATTTTTTAGGAGTCGTGTTGATCCCGTTGACAATGATGATGACAAAGATGAAGTATGAAAATGACTTTTTCATTAATTAACAACAATTTTCGATATTCTCACTAAATTTCTCTTAAAATTTTCTTCTAGAGTCCATTAGTGATAAACTTTAGTGAAGTGCTAGACGAGGATCCATCTTTTGGTTCCGATATTAATAATGTACGTATTTTACTTATTTAATTATTTACACCAATAATAACAATAATAAAAACTATATAATCTTATAATCAAAACAGGATTTAAAGATGATATATCCGGACCTTATTAAAATTTATAAAAAATCATCTGATTGGTAATGTTTTGGCATTACAATTATGTTACGTAACATAAAATATTACTAATGTTACTATTGTTTTATTATATTAATAATAGTGATTTAATCCGTATGGCAATAATTGATTTGGAAGATGATAAAAAAAATGAAACAATTCCATTTAAAAAAATTTCAAAAATGTTCAAAAAAAATATTATGAAATTTAATGAGATAAAATTAAATGATGGTGAGAAAATGTTGGATGCCATCAAAGGCATAGAAAAAATTGAAGATGCTATAGATTTTGTAACAAACTTCAGCTCAATGAGTAATTTAAAGTTAGATTATCAATCAACAATCAATGATTTTATATATTCCATTGTCAAAACTTTGTATGTCTAAAATTTTTATTATTTATTTTAGTAAAACATAAATGATCATTAATATAATTTTTTCTATTTAGTGCTAGCTATTTTGTTTTAAACGAAAACTATTTTAAAGAAATATTACCTGAATACCATCTAGGAGCAACAATACATGTCCAAATTTTTATGAATTTGTTTAGGGATAAAAACTATATAGTACGATGCAATGAGTAAGCACTAGTTTCCAAATTTTAGATCTTATTTATATTAAATGTTATTATTATTAAATTATATTTCATTGGTAGACGACACTATGCAAATCACACAAGAAGAAATCTCCATTTAGATGAGGTGAGGTCCAAAAATCCTCTATTTCCAGACATAAAGTTAATATACAGAAAAAATAACATGGAGATAATAGTAGTAGAGCATCAAAAGAGAAGATCAGCAGAAGACCGAAGGAAAGAAAAAAAAGATACTACTAAAATTTGTGTATTGATGCATGATCAACTAACAAAACTTTCCAAGGAATTAGAAAAATCTGACAAGGGAAACTTAATAAAAGAAGTTAATGTATATGGAGTAATAACTTCTAGTGAGTATAATATATGATTAATGTAACATTTTCTATATTAATATCAAAAAAAATTTTTTTTTAAGTGAAATTAACAAATTTATTTAAAAAAATTTAGAATTTGAAATAGATATATACACTACCTGGACAAAAGTATAGGGACACCTGCAGATCATCACAAATAATTGAATAAAGTGACATGACAAGAACTAAAAATTTTACTATCCCAATCA